ACCTCTCCGTTTCCTTTTTATCTGCAAGAGGAGATACCGAACCTTCTCAGAGGTGATGGCCAGGACTGGGGACGACGCCCACAGGAAACACTTAACAGGGCTGACACAGCGGGTTTGGGAAATGCTACCTGCTGTCATCGGCACAGCGGCTGGGATCCAGCCGGAGAACTCAGCTCCGCAGAGTCAAGAGCAGAGAGGACACAGGCACGAGGAGGCACCACCGGGAGGACGCGGGAGAAACGTCAGGGGAGGGGCAGTGGGGCTGGACCACTCCTCTCCCCTCCCCCAGGAAGGCTGCCCTCCCACGTGCCACAGACAAGGAAGAAGACGCAGGGTCAGAAACGACGTTCCTTTCATCTGCTCGATCCCACGAACATACCAACGAAAGATTCTGGTTCGAGTTAAAAGTGAATCCTCACTACAGGACTTGAAGATAAATTCCATCTCTGTCTGAAAGTAGCTGTTCTCTATTAGTATTATTGTTTAATCCTCACCCGAGGATATTTTTCTATTTATCTGCAGGTAGAATTGGAGGGAGATTGAGGGGGAAAGGGAGAGAGAGAGAAACATCGACACTAGAGAGACACACCGACTGGTTGCCTCCTGCACGATCCCAACCGGGGCCGGGGACAAACCACAACCGAGGCACATGCCCTTGGCCAGAACTGATTTGCCGGCTGACGCTCCGCCGCTGAGCCAAACCGGCCAGGGCAGTAGTTGTTCTTTAGAGTCAAGGCAAAACTGCTTTAAAGCAGTTGAGTTACAGCATTAAGGAGAAAACCACTCCTTAAACCAATGAACGAGTGTCAGAATACACCCCTGGGTGGTGGGGTTCTCGGTGACTGTTTTGGGTTTGTTTGTTGTGGAGTTTGGGGGGTAGGGGCTTCAGCAGCGGTCTGTAACCACATGCATGGCGATTCTGAACGATGAAATCATGGACGTAGCCAAAATAACCCTTCATGTAACTTAGGAGAAAGAAGTGATTTGCTTAAGTTTACCTAGACAGTTTGAATAATGAAAGTCCTAGGAAATCCATTCCACGAAAATAAGTTTCTTTATTCAAGACAGCAACTGAAGTTTGGGAGGCCGAGGGAAAACAGAAAGGTCCTAAAAACGGCTCTGCGGCCAGCCCGGGACTACCTCCCAGCGGGACGCAGCAGGCTCGCTTCTCAGGCCTTAGTGATTCACACCTCCTGCGGGCCTGGGACCAGCGTGCCTAATATGAGCAGATTCTGGAGCCTGGCATGTGAGGAGCCACCCTGCCTGCTCCCTCTGCTGAGTCACAGCCATCCTGCAGGGACGCGGCCTTCCTCCTGAACATTGCCTTTTGAGGAGCTAACACATCACAGCTCACCCAGCCCCGCAGCCCCGCAGCATCAAGATAAGGACCTCACTCTAATAGGTAACAGTCCAGTCGTGGAGAGAAAACAGTGTGGCAACTATAAATAACCCGATTTCCTGTGCTCGCCCAGCGGCCCTTCAGGCTACAGGGTTTCAAAAGCCGTTTGCTAAGGAGGCTTCCGCTCGGCGACATTGGTTCAGGCTGAACAGAAACTTACTTTGAAAGAAAAAAGGAAATTTGGTCTCCACCTCTGCCCTAGTGGGGCACCCTCAATACTCTGAGAAAAACCCTAACTTGGTATTTCTGTACCTTATCTGCTTGAGGAAGTGACCCATGTGAGACAAGCCGTATGACTCTAGGGCTCAAAATCCCTGGCTGGGCTCCAGCAGGGCCAGCCACCTGAGCCCTGCCTCCACCCCACACCTGTCAACGTGCCCACGTGCCGAGACCTAAGGGGACCTCGGCACCGGCACCTACGTGAGGTGGGACTTGGGAGACTGCATCTCTCGGGACGGGACTGGGGTTGGCCAGCCCCTGCCAGTCAGTATGTGGAAAGCAACCGGAGGTGACACACCCCACCTCAAACACAGGAAGTTACAAAAGTGAGAGAAACGCGTGTTTCTACACTCTCCCCTCACCCGGCTCCAGGCCTGGGGCTCCCCTGGAAGGAGCCAGGCCCCTGCTCTCGCTCTGCCCTTCTCCGGGTGGAGACAGACAGCTCAGCTTCCCCCTGCTTCCCCCACGCGCCCCTGGCCCTGACGGGCCCCGGCCCTCCTTCCCCACTGGAGACCCCTGTTCCTAGGGGCACAATGCAAACACAACTGGCCAGCAGCCCCTAACTGGAACACTGCATCGGCCAGCGCACCTGGGGGTGACTCCCTTCGAAGGCACCCCACCTGCCCCAACTGGACATTGAGCAGGCTTCCTTTTCAAGGGGACCAGTCACCTCCTGAAACAGGGACCGTGTTTTACTTCTGTTCCCCATTTCTCAAAGTGTTTGTTATTATGCACTAAATAAAAAAACAAGAAACCTCCCACAGGTTCACAATGTCTTACTGGAAATCCCAGGACCAGATACACCTCCGAATTCAACCAGCAGGTCAGACGCGTCTATCATATATTCCGTAACCGCGGAGCGTAACAGCCCTTCTCCAGGTCGTTAACGGGCTGCAGAGACGGGCGCGGATGGGTATTCACTCTAAGACAGGGCAAGACTGAAACCAGCCCCCCATCAGCCAGGGCAGGTCTCACTGCCAAATGAATCCCGCCACGAACTTACCAGAACAAGTAACAACGTTTAGTTTTCAGAGCATCCTGGGCCCTGGAATTAGTAGGGCAGTGATTTTTCAACCTTTTCGTCTCATGGCACACTAATTACTAAAGTTCTGCAGCACAGCAAAAGACAAACTTTTTGCTGACTTGATTTAAAAAAAAAAGTATGATTTTGATTCATTCACACTGGATGGCTATTATTGTATAGGCTGTTGTCATTTTTATATTTGACAATCTAAGGGGACAGAGGTCAGTGCCCCTGACTAAATAGTCAAGTACTGCTTCCTTCTTTCTCTTTCTTTCTTTCTGTCTTTCTGTCTTTCTTCTTTTTTTCTTAAAGGAAACACATCGTATGTTGTACTATTAGATATGCATTTGCACAGTGTTGACCTCTATTTTTTTTTTTCTTTATTGATTTTAGAGAGAGAGGAAGGGAGAGGGAGACAGAAACATCGATCGGCCGCCTCCTGCATGCCCTCCACTGGGGATCGGGCTCACAACCTGGGCATGTGCCCTGGCCGGGAATCGAACCGGCAACCTCTTGGTGCAGGGGTCGACGCTCAACCACTGAGCCACACTGGCCAGGCTTAAAAATTCTTGCGACGCACCAGTTGAAAATCGCCGGACTAGGGATGGTGGGCCAGTGCTGATGCAGCACCTCCTCAGTCAGGACCGGGACCGACTCCTCCTTCACCTGTTTCTGTGGAGCATGCATCTTAACCAGGCCCAACCCAAGGGTTAAACGAAGGGTTAAGGAGACCTTTCAGCCAGTGCCTTGGAGCCAGGTATTATTTCTACTCATGCCTCTGACCGGCAGGTCCCCCCCTTCCTCAATCCTTGTTCTCCATGTTTATTCTTTTCTTTTCCAAAAGGTCCCCACCCAGAGTCCTTCCTCCGAGCACCGCCCTGTGCCGGCCATCTATGGCTTGCCTGGGCCACTCAGCAGCCTTCCTTCCTTCCTTCTCCAAGACACCTTCCCTGACGCCGATTCCAGGATGTCTCTGTAGGTTCCTAAGCCCCTGGAAACCCGTTAGGTTAAGGGCTAGGAACCATCTCCAAAGGTCTGGGCCACGGCTGGAGCTCCAGTGAGGCCTTAGACACACATGACCAAAACGGACTCAAAACCAGCTGACGGTCCTTAGCAAGGAAGGTAAATCCCAAGTGCGGATGCATCAGAGTCTAGGACTATACCTTTCTCAGGTGTTAACCTACTGGTAAGTTCCTCCCAGGTCAGGGCGGTCTTTTCATTTCGAACCTCCCACAAACACCCAGTGCTTAATTCCTCCTGGCGACGGAGTAATGATTGTTTTGGGCTCACACTTGCATCAAGTTCCCACAAAGGCCTAGGAAGTGGAAATCTGGGGTCTTGGCAGTACTAACTTCATAAAATGTTTCTTTTCCAAAGTGCACCCTCTCACTTTTAAATATTCCCACTCCCGCCCTGGCTGGTTTGACTCAGGGGTAGAGTGTGGGCCCTCGGACAAGTGAGTTGTGGGTTCGATTCCGGCCAAGGCCATGTACTTCAGCTGCAGTTGGTCCCAGCCCTGGATGAGGTTGTGCAGGAGGCAACCAGTCAATGTGTTCCTCTCACATCAATGTTTCCCTCTCTCTTCCTCTCTCCCCCTCTTCCCCTCCTACTCTGTCTGAAAATAAATAGAAAAATATCCTCAGGTGAGAATTAAAAATAATAAATAAATAAATAAATAAATAAATAAATAAATATTCCCACTCCTGATCAACCACGAGCCTCATGATAGTGGGTAACTGCAAACCTTCCCCACATCCATGGGTGTTAAGCCAGATAACTGGGAAATCCTACAGGATCCTGTCCAGGCCCAGAGACCCCAGACCAGCCGAAGTCTATCAGGGAACTCGGGTCCTTGGGGTAGGCTGAGAAGTGGGCTCAGTCCCCAGTGGCCTAAGGGCCGGAGCAGAAGTTCCCAGGAACACCCAGCCACAGACGGTGCCAGCCTCAGGTGAGTGCCCAGGCTCTGGGCACCAGTTCCTCGGTGCTGTGTTTTATAAAATACCAAACCCACAGCTGGGAGGGAACCTCTGGACAACCCGCAGGTCGCCGGCCTGGGCGCCCAGGCACCCAGCTGGGCAGAGCCGGTCACAAGGCCAGCACTGGAGGCCACCCCGCTCCTTTCCTTCCCGGGGAGCGCACCGTCCAGTGAAACCAGCTCTCTGAGCAGGGGCACAGTGCAGCCGGGACTGAGGAGGGAGCCGGGCCCACTCCCACCCGCACATCCTCGCTGGGGCGGAGCCCACCCACACCCTCATCAGGCACAGACTGCGGCAAGGTGCCCTCTGCCCTGGACCTTAGAACAGTAACAAGGACCGGCGTTCGCAGTCAGAACCGGAAGTTTCCAGATGTTTCTCTTACCAGCTTCTGAGCTTCTGGACTCAGGCAGTCTATTTCCTTGTTCTGCGTGGCCGCCGGGTTGGTCATCCTGCCGGCTGCCAGTCCACGTCCCGCAGCAGGAAACACAGTCCGGAACGCGGCTCTGGGGTCCGCGGGCGCAGGCTCTCAGCGCAGCCGCATCCCGAGCGGCAACTCCAGCCCCGGACGGCCCGCGACAGACAGCGGCGGACTCGCCCTTCCCCAGGCAGAGGCGCACGCACTCCCGCTTCCCGGCTGGGGTGCGGCCGGGGGGCGTGGCGCAGGTGGCCCGGCTCTCCCCTTCGCGCCCCGCCCAGCCCGGAGGGTCCCGCCCCGAGCCCCCGCGCCCCGCCCCCGGCTCCTGGCCCCGCGAGGGTCCCGCCCCCATCTGCGCTCCACCCCCAGCCCCCCATCGGTGCTCCACGGCCGCCCGTGCTCCACCCTCACCCCGCCCACCGTCCTCGGTGCGCGCCCCTCCCTGCGCCCCAGGAGCTCGGTTAGCAACCCAACCCCCTCCGGCCCCCACCGGAAGGCGGTGGGGAAAAGACCCCAGCCGGCCCGCCCACAGGCGCGGGGAGGGCGGGGTGACAGGCGCGGGGAGGGCGGGACGAGAGGCTGTGGGGAGAGGAAGTGGGGGCGAGGGGCCGGCCGGCGCCAGGCAGGGTTCCGCTCCGAGTGGGGCCAGTGTAGGGGCGGGGCTGGGCGGGACGAGCCGCTTCCGCACCCTCGCTCGGGTCCCCAAGCCTGAGCCCGGCTTCCGCGGGCTACTGCTCCGCGAAGTCCTCCAAACTCAGGGCAAATTGAGCTTCTACGGACCCAGCGACCTCAGCCCCAGTTCAGCCGGCCGGGGGATCCCCATTAACGCGTCACCCCAAGAAGGGCTGGTTTCCAGAGCGACAAAGGACGCGGCCCACGGGGGTGAGAACCAGCATCCCACGCCGGTGCGCCCCCCGCCCGCCCGCCTCCCCAGCAGCCAGCCGTGCGCGGGAAGAACGCAGGTGCCAGCGGTTCGACGCACATCCGGTGGCTCAGAGCTGGGCCCGCAGGGTCCATGACCCGCCTGGGAGGCAGTGCGGCGCAGGGGCCGAGCGGGGCCGCGGCAGGGGCCCAGCCTCCCAGCACGAGCCACCCCCAGCCGCTGGTTCTTCCAGTCTTGCAGACAAAGCAGCCAAACGTCTCCCGACCTCGCCAAGCTGCGGCGGAAGCCACAGGACATCCTGACATTTATCAGAATGTCATGCCCGCCAGTGTGCTCAGCGGTTGAGTGTTGACCCATGCAGAATTCGCCGGTTCGAATCCCGTCAGGGCCCAGGCCCAGGCCCAGGCGGTGGGCCTGATCCCCAGTGGGGGCATGCGGGAGGCCGTCAATTGATGTTCTCTCTCATAGATGTTTCTCTCCTGCTCTAATATCAATGAAGAAAAAAAAAATAGAATGTCAACTTGTTCTGGCCCAGCCTGTGGCCCCTGGAAGGCCCCTGCTGAGGCTGCGCCAGCCCCTGCAAGCCCATGCCCTGGGGACACAGTTTTGAAGGCCCATCTCTGAAAAAGCACCCCCTCCCCCCCGCCCTTCAAAAAGGAGCTTCCAACAGAATCGCTTGGCCTAATTCTCTGCAAAGGCAGCTCCAAAAGGAGTCTTGAGAGACCACAAACTCACACTGAAATGTCACAATTCCCCAAGTTCCCACTCCGTCCCCCTAACCTAATTCTCAGCAACATGTTAGCGCATGACCTTCCCACTGTGGGCTGCCCACGCAGCTTCAGGGGAGGGGACTGGGTAAGGAAGGGCTGGTGGGCAGAGGAGGCTCTGAGGGAACAGAGGGCCTGACCCCGGAGAGGGTAGGGGCCACAGAAAAGAGGCGGAGTGAAGGCCTGGGGTGCCCCCCATCCTGTGGGAGAGACTCAGCAGGTTTTAACCTTGCTCAAGGTGAACACAGCACCAGACTTTGAAGGATCCTGTCCTTAGGCCACAAAACTAACTTTCAAATAGACTGAAACGCCTTTTAAAACCTTGCTTTCTTGCTATAACACCTTTAAATGTGTTCATGGATTACACTTCTTGGGTCTATGAAATGAAATGGATGGGAGAAAATAATTTCGAACTGTACTATGTGCTATGTGGACAAGTGTGGGATTTAGGGAATGTATCACGAAGAGCGATTTGAATCTTCATAGTAGCAACAACTTTGCAGATGACAATGATCGCCAACTGATACAGTAGCTGCCTTCTCCCCGACCAGTGTGAACATTCCCACCCAGCCAGGCGCATTCTAGGGCCACGTGCCCCTCCAAACCCTCCAGCCACACCTTGAGAGCAGGGCCCCCCGTCTCTGCGGCAGTGGGAAAGCTCCTGTGTGCTCCCCAACCCCCAGGTGGCCACGTGGGGAAGGTGTCAAGGAAGTGGACTCTGGAATGAAGCCAGCTGGTCCACTTCCTGGCTCTGACCCTTAATGAGAGCAGCAAGTTACCTTGGCCCTGCGTCTGGAGTCGCCTGAAGACACGGACGTGCAGACCAGCTAGGCCGAGGGACACGCAAACCGACCCTTGCCTGGTGGCCTCTCAGCCCAGGCTCTTCGCTCCGCTCCCAGCAAGTCCCCACCCAAGGCGCCCAGGCCTTCCTGTCCTTCTCCACAGCAGGAAGGACACTGGCAACTGCGGCCTCAGATGGCATGGCCTGGACAGACGGGGCAGCCCTGGGGAGGAAAGCAAACCCAGAGCCCCCACAAAAGCGGGGGGAGGGGTGCCTGGTGCCAAAGTGGGTGCAGGAGCAAGGAACAAGCAGCCGCTAATGTCAGTTCCAGGAACCAATGAGCAGTACCAGCAATGCGGTACCGGTCGCAGTACACCTGAGACTGCTCGCTCCGCGGAGAGGGGCGGTGAGCGAAACTGCCCTCTAACTAACCTGTGTCCCGCCCAGCGGTTTCAACCTCTCTCGTCTCACGGCACACAAACTAACGACCAAAATTCTGCAGAACAGGAAACATATATTTTGTCTAGCTGACACACACAAAAAAGATATAATTTAGATTCATTCACACAGGATGGCCATTGCTGTGTTGGCTGTTGTCATTTTTTAAATTTGACAATCTAAGGGAAAAGAGGTCGGAGCCCCTGACTACACAGGCAGGTGTTGCATGTTTGAACATTCCTGTGGCGCACTGGGTGAACGTCACTCCGGAGGGGAGGCTGCGACCTTCTGACCTGTCTCAGCCCAGCCACTCCTGTGCCGCGGCCAAGGCTCAGACCACAGGGCCAACGTTGTGGATACTGGGAGTGGAGTGCTGAATTCACTCTTCTTGGAGCTCTTACTGAGACTCCAAGCCCCGAGAATAAAGTGTCGTGGGCCTGGATGCCTTCTGTTAATTTTGATGTAAGGAGCTCTCTAATGAAAATAATTTCTCATTGAAACCCCTTCTATAGGAAGCCCCTTTCTTTCTCTTTCTTTCTCTCTCTCCCTCTCTCCCTCCCTTCCTTCCTTCCTTCCTTCCTTCCTTCCTTCCTTCCTTCCTTCCTCCCTCCCTCCCTCCCTCTCTCTCTCTCTCTCTTTCCCTCCTCTCTCTTTTTCTATCTTTCATCCGTGTGAGGATGGTTAACGAGTGGCTGGTGGACCCGACAAACGTGGTTTGGGACAGCCAGAGGAAGGGCGTGGCTGGGCAAGGCGCCCTGGTGCATGGGGAACCAGAGGGGTGCAGTTTGCATCCCTGTCCCCGCAGCTCTGGGGGTGGCTTGGCAGAATGAGGGAAACACTTTGCCTTGAAGAAGACAAAACTAAAACCACCTCCGTATCAGGTGAGAAGAAACCAGACAAGAAGCCCCGGCTTCCATCCTCAGGGCGCCGCTCCCTGGCCCGAGCAGCGTGGGGGGCGGCTCAGGAAGAGGGGTCGGCCAGCTGGACTGCGTCAGCCTGGGCTTCGGTCTTTCTGCAAACAGCTGCGGGGTCAATGACGCAGGGTCAGTTTTCTCCTCCTTTGGGTCCGGATGCCACTTCTAACAGGTTGACTCTGAATTTCTGGCCCCTTCCAGGCTGCCAGACAGTTAATGACCTATTAATACACAGTCATTATTTCAACCCAGCAACTCTGCCGAGAGGGCACCTTAGGTTTGGGGAAAGCTCGGTCTTGGGCATTCCTAAGAACCTCTATGCGTGTGCCCTCTCAACAAAAATTAAATGTCCAAAATCTAAAAAAAAAAAGTACAGAGAACTGATGTCCTGTATGGTTCTAGGCAAAAACTTAATTTCTTTCCCCAGAAAAGAACAAAAGGTAAATAGACTGGTCTAAGTTGTCCTGGGAGCATGAGACTCCTAGCTAACCGGCAAATGCCTGAACGGTTAACCAATGTGGGGCCACACCCAAGCTTGGTTGACTGGTCTCCATGGTGCTGGCCGGTTGCTAGGTTCTCCAGCTTCGCCTCCTGCTGCGGTTTGGTTCTAGGAGCTAGAGCTGCAGAGACAACGCCTCCCAGAGGTCCTCCCCCAGAGCCGCCGGCCTCCCCATTAGTCAGACAACCGACACAAAACCATCTTTCTAAATTATAGCCAGAACCATCTGTTTTCCATGAATCACTAGCTATGTTCATGACAACAGAATACACTTACCTATATTACTTCTACAAACAGTTACATTGTTACTTTGTGTGGCTCCTTTGACAAATATCCCAAAACACTTCTTATTGTAAAGATGTTCATGAAATGATCACCCAGATCCACACAGAACCCTAGTTCACAAAGCATTCTACACGCACAGCAAGGCCCACGGAAGTCACATAACTTGCCACAGACGCATGTTGGGAGAACGAAGCCAGCCTTTTGACCCAAGTCCCCACTAAAAGTCCTGAGGGCTTAGCATCCAGGGTGCCACCTGACACAGTTGTCCCCTCAACCCAGCCAGCCAGGGGTGGTCTGGGAACAGACAGTCAACAGACAGGCTGGGGAGTGTCCTTCACCATCTCCAGGGGCTTGGCCTGGACCAGGGGCGACGGCAAAGCAGTGCTCACCCCCAGGAAGACCTGGGCCACCGGCAGGAGCATCAGATGGGGGAGCCAGCCCCTTCCTGTTGTCGGCAGAGAAAGCTGTACCCCACGGGCGGCTGGCCCAGCTCAGGCCCACAGTGACTTGACCCTCGGGCCAGGATCCTGCCTGCCTGCAGCGGGCAGAGCCTCTGGGAGGGAGAGCAGCTAAAGCTACAGGGAG